GGAAGAGTTGGTGGAGGAGACAATGAAGAACTAACCACCTGATGAGGTCTGGATAGATCAACTTCAAGAGCAAGAGGCCAACCTGCGGAAACTGTGTTCAAAGGAGGGGAGAGAGAATTGAAGGAATTATGCCTACTCAAAGATTAAGGAAATGTGTGCAAAATGGCTTGAAGGAGTGCAAACTCTTTTTTGATGAAAATCACCCTCACCACAGCTATTGCAAGCCGTGCTGGTACTGTTACAATGGACAATAGTTGTGAACCACCTTTAGACAAATCATAAAGGAACGAGAGTATCAGGCCACTATGGACAGATTATGTTGTGCGAAAGAATCAGTGACTCTGAAGACTGTCCTAGTGGCATTAAAGAAGACAGGAAAGTAACCCTCCCAGAAAAGGACTTGCCTCCTCAATCTTAATGGAAGGGGATTCCCCTGTCTAAACACTAACACTCTCTACTCCCCCCTCCTCCCATCCCATCAATCATCACCAGATCTTCAATAAAAGTAAGTGTCATGTTAATTGTGCATGCCTTTTTCAGTTTGTGTACTAAAATTAACATTGTTTTTGTGGTATAAAAAAATTTTTTTTCATACTTTTGGGTGTCTGGCACGGATTAATTTATTCCATTATTTCTTATGGTGAAAATTCACTCACTGTAGCGAACGATTTTCGCATAAACAGCAGCCCTCTTGCCACGGATTAAGGTCGGCTATGTCGGGGGTCCACTGTTTAAGGTAAAAGTAATAAGACCAAGAACTATTAAGATAAGAATCAAAGGAAAACTCAGATGAGTGTGTATAAATAAATGTGTACATGTATGTGTAGTGTGACCTAAGTGTAAGTAGAAGTAGCAAGACGTACCTGTAATCTACAGACAAAAGACACCAGCAATCCTACCATCATGTAAAACAATTACAGGCTTTCGTTTCACACTCACTTGGCAGGACGGTCAGTACCTCCCGGGCGTTGTGTCTACCGCCCTTACTACCTACAAAACACACCCACCAAGACAACCTGGACCGTAGGTCAGCTAGACGCCACCAAGCTGCTACACAGTTCGGCCACCTCGGAGAGGCAGATATATATAGCAGATATATTAAGCAAATTTCCTAAATTTGCTTGTAACAGATGAGTGAACTGTACATACAAATCCAGATGTAACTGACTCAGGAAATTGTAATGACAGAGGTACTTATGTTAACCCTCTTGGGGCCTAGTTCCTAGGACTTTTGTGTATCCATATGCTCTTGTATTATTGTCCACAGGATGGTTTACCTGTAGTTTACCTGGAGAGAGCTCCGGAGGTCAACGCCCCTGCGGCCCGGTCTGTGACCAGGCCTCCTGGTGGATCAGAGCCTGATCAACCAGGCTGTTACTGTTGGCTGCACGCAAACCAACGTACGAGCCACAGCCCGGCTGGTCAGGAACCAACTTTAGGTGCTTGTCCAGTGCCAGCTTGAAGACTGCCAGGGGTCTGTTGGTAATCCCCCTTATGTATGCTGGGAGGCAGTTGAACAGTCTCGGGCCCCTGACACTTATTGTATGGTCTCTTAACGTGCTAGTGACACCCCTGCTTTTCATTGGGGGGATGTTGCATCGTCTGCCAAGTCTTTTGCTTTCGTAGTGAGTGATTTTCGTGTGCAAGTTCAGTACTAGTCCCTCTAGGATTTGCCAGGTGTATATAATCATGTATCTCTCCCGCCTGCGTTCCAGGGAATACAGGTTCAGGAACCTCGAGCGCTCCCAGTAATTGAGGTGTTTTATCTCCGTTATGCGCGCCATGAAGGTTCTCTGTACATTTTCTAGGTCAGCAATTTCACCTGCCTTGAAAGGTGCTGTTAGTGTGCAGCAATATTCCAGCCTAGAAAGAACAAGTGACCTGAAGAGTGTCATCATGGGCTTGGCATCCCTAGTTTTGAAGGTTCTCATTATCCATCCTGTCATTTTTCTAGCAGATGCAATTGATACGATGTTATGGTCCTTGAAGGTGAGATCCTCCGACGTGATCACTCCCAGGTCTTTGACGTTGGTGTTTCGCTCTATTTTGTGGCCAGAATGTTTCGTACTCTGATGACGATTTAATTTCCACATGTTTGCCATATCTGAGCAATTGAAATTTCTCATCGTTAAACTTTATATTGTTTTCTGCAGCCCACTGAAAGATTTGGTTGATGTCCACCTGGAGCCTTGCAGTGTCTGCAATGGAAGACACTGTCATGCAGATTCGGGTGTCATCTGCAAAGGAAGACACGGTGCTGTGGCTGACATCCTTGTCTATGTCAGATATGAGGATGAGGAACAAGATGGGAGCGAGTACTGTGCCTTGTGGAACAGAGCTTTTCACCGTAGCTGCCTCGGACTTTACTCTGTTGACTACTACTCTCTGTGTTCTGTTAGTGAGGAAATTATAGATCCATCGACCGACTTTTCCTGTTATTCCTTTAGCACGCATTTTGTGCGCTATTACGCCATGGTCACACTTGTCGAAGGCTTTTGCAAAGTCTGTATATATTACATCTGCATTCTTTTTGTCTTCTAGTGCATCTAGGACCTTGTCGTAGTGATCCAATAGTTGAGACAGACAGGAGCGACCTGTTCTAAACCCATGTTGCCCTGGGTTGTGTAATTGATGGGTTTCTAGATGGGTGGTGATCTTGCTTCCTAGGACCCTTTCAAAGATTTTTATGATATGGGATGTTAGTGCTATCAGTCTGTAGTTCTTTGCTGTTGCTTTACTGCCCCCTTTGTGGAGTGGGGCTATGTCTGTTGTTTTTAGAAACTGTGGAACGACCCCGGTGTCCATGCTCCCTCTCCATAGGATGGTAAAAGCTCGTGATAGGGGCTTCTTGCAGTTCTTGATGAACACGGAGCTCCACAAGTCTGGCCCTGGGGCAGAGTGCATGGGGATGTCATTTATCGCCTGTTCGAAGTCATTTGGCGTCAGGATAACATCAGATAGGCTTGTGTTAACCAAATTCTGTGGCTCATAAAAAATTCATTTTGATCTTCAACTCTCAGTCTGGTTAGCAGCTTGCTAAAAACTGAGTCATATTGGGACTTGAGTAGCTCACTCATTTCCTTGCTGTCATCTGTGTAGGACCCATCTTGTTTAAGTAGGGGCCCAATACTGGACGTTGTTCTCGACTTTGATTTGGCATAGGAGAAGAAATACTTTGGGTTTCTTTCGATTTCATTTATGGCTTTTAGTTCTTCCGCGATTCCTGACTCTATAAGATTCCTTTAGCTTAAGTTCGATGCTTGCTATTTCTCTGACCAGTGTCTCCTACGCCTTTCAGATATATTGACCTCTTTAGCCGCTCTGTTATTCTTTTCCGTCGCCTGTAAAGGGAGCGCCTGTCTCTTTCTATTTTACATCTACTCCTCCTTTTTCTTAGAGGAATAAGCCTTGTGCATACATCGAGCACCACCGAGTTAATCTGTTCTAGGCACAAGTTGGGGTCTGTGTTGCTTAGCATATCTTCCCAGCTTATATCAGTTAAGATTTGGTTTACTTGGTCCCACTTTATGTTTTTGTTATTGAAGTTGAATTTGGTGAAGGCTCCCTCATGACTAATCTCATTATGTCTGTCTGGGGCTCCACGCATACATGTCTGAACCTCAATTATGTTGTGATCTGAGTATATTGTTTTTGATATGGTGACATTTCGTATCAGATCATCATTGTTAGTGAAGATGAGGTCTAGTGTATTCTCCAGTCTAGTAGGCTCTATTATTTGCTGGTTTAAATTGAATTTTGTGCAGAGATTTAAAAGCTCGTGTGAGTGTGAGTTTTCATCAGAGCTGCCTCCTGGTGTTATTACTGCAACAGTATTATTTGCTATATTCCTCCATTTTAGGTGCCTTAAGTTGAAATCCCCCAGGAGCAAGATGTTGGGTGCAGGAGCTGGCAGATTTTCCAGACAGTGGTCAATTTTTAACAGCTGTTCCTGGAATTGCTGGGATGCTGCATCCGGAGGCTTGTAGACTACCACAATGACTAGGTTTTGGTTCTCGATGAATATGAGATGTACAATAAACTAGCCACTTGAGTGGCAAAATTTAAATCTTTACTGGCGGGAGGAACAATGGCTCAGTTGAAAGCCAACGAAAATGTGGAACACCAAAAAGTGGTGATGGTGGGGCCCTCCAGTACTAAAAGGAGAATGGTCAGAAGCCCACTTATGGTTTCATGCAAAATAGCCTGTTGATCACTAAAAAGAATTAAGGATACCAAATACAAATGCAAATAATTTACTTCTTTTCTACAGTATACAGGCAATGCAGTTTCCACGTAATGAAATATTGTTAAGCACAAAAGAAAGCCACTAGCATGCAATATATTTTGTGAAGATGCTACCTGTCATCTTGCAAAACCTAAGGCAACAGCCTGCAAGTAGTTGGAGAATGGCAGCCACCAGCAAGAAATCTAAAGTTCCTGGCTAGGGAAGCTCACTGATGAGTTTGTACTGTTTGTCCACTTCCATTTAAACTTTAATTTCAAAATAACTGAAATTAGTGAGAATTATTTTGTTGGATGACAGTAAAAGAGGAGACAGAATGATTTTATAGGTTACTGTGAAAGGTTACAAGACACTATACAAAGATGTCTTGAAACCCATTAAGGGAGGTTCTTTGATGCTTATCTTAGTGCTTCTTTTTTATTATAATAATTTGATGCTTGTCATGTACTCTGGATCTGAGGATCTGGACCTGACCTTCCCTTCCATGGATTGAACCTGACTGTTTCCCATTTCCCAAGCATTGTATGACCCCTATAAGTTTAGCACTCCCCCCATGAATGTAATAACGTGTGTAATGGCTTAAACACATCTTGTTGGCATTTGTAGAGCCACTGACAGTACAGTGTACCTTACACACATTGCCTGGCATTTTAGGACTCATTCCCCATGGGTTCGAACCCCACCTGTTCCATGGTTTGTTTGCAATCATCTTATTACGATTTCATGAGTTATTAATAACAAGGTTAATAATACTCACCCCCTGTACTAACTCTCGACCATGGCCTTCACACGAGGGTTCATGCTGACCATACATGGTCATCTCTTGCAAAGTTGATATTAGCTGCTTGTTCTGCCATGTTGTTTTGTCATAAAGGATGTCATAAAATGATGTATTGAAGTATTCTGGAAAATACAAAAATGGTTAACTAAATAAATCAAAACCCTTGTTTAAAATAGCAACTGAGTTGTAGTTGTATATATATTGGCAGTCATAGAAAATATTCATTTCGATCAACCAAGACTACAATTAAATAATGGTACTCTAAAAATCCTGGCTACTTTTTAAGTGATAATTACAATGATTACACAGCATTTGTGTGTATAGTCATTCACTTTTCCTTTGAACAAGTAGGACTTGGTAAACTGAATAACTAAAAACAAAAATTGATGAAGGGGTGAAAGGATGGAGGGATGAAGGAACTGCACCACATACCATCTAAGTTGTACCATACCCATATTAAGACAAACCTAAAGCCACCAGTTTGCATTAATAAGGAAAGTCATAAGGATCAGTCACAGATCAAGTTCCATAGGTATTAGGATAAATATGCTTGTTTTTCCTGGTACTATACATTATGAGATGCTCCAGTCTTCAGAACATACATAACTTGACATGACATTGACTGTTGCCATTCCTCTTTGCCAGATGTTAGTTGCCTCTTGCTCACCTACTCTGTCTTAATCTCACTGTCCCTTCTTTTCATTTACTTGCAGCTTATTAATGGTGCAGAATGACCTGAAGCATTTTCTAAATTTTCTTTTTAAATTGTGTAATACTTGTGAATATTTAAATGTTATGAGTACAGTGGATCCCCGGTTAACGAACTTTTTTCATTCCAGTAGTATGTTCAGGTGCCAGTACTGACCGAATTTTTTCCCATAAGGAATATTGTGAAGTAGATTAGTCCATTTCAGACCCCCAAACATACACGTACAAACGCACTTACATAAATACACTTACATAATTGGTCGCATTTGGAGGTGATCGTTAAGCGGGGGTCCACTGTACTTTGTTCTAGCATGTGCAGGAGGGCTTTGCTTTACAGCATTTTACTAATTCATTGGTTTTCAATTATACCCACTTTTCATTTAATCAACTTCCTATAATAAATATATTCACCACTCACTATAAGCTAAGGACAATAATATTTTAAGGTGAGTAATGTGTGCAGTGTATATGCATTTTTTAGACCTAGTTCTATTCCTCACTTAATATTAGATAGTGTAAACATGTTATTAGGCTTTTATATGCATTTGAAAGTGAAAAATGGCTATGATTCACTGTATAGTGATTTTCGGTTGACAGCCGTATCCCAGAACCTAACCTGCTGTATAAGTGGGGCTCTCTTGTACAGCAGTAGACTGCAACCTAACCTGCTGTGTAAGTGAGGCCTGCTTGTATAAAATCTTTGGAGTACTTGAATAGATGACTTCTGAATAATACTGTAGGATGATAAAGGTAAAAAATATTTGATTACATTTAAGTAATGTTAAGCATTGTAACTTATATAGGTCTTAAGCTTTTGACTTGCCAGAATAGTCTCCTTCACATCGTGAATTCATAGTTTCAGGTATGGTAATTTTACTGCAACTTGAGAGCAACAGTGGTACAGTGCTATAAGAAAAATTTTAATTACATATTGTACTTCATTAACAGGCAGACACTGCTGCGTGGTCAGCAGTACATGACCTTCCAGTTTCATATAGAGGCATTCCATTCACGGAATATTTTGCTGTTATAGCTACCCACCTTCACACCCATTGGCAACAACGTTGGTTTGCTCTGCTCAATAACAAACTTTGTTCTATTAAACCGAGTATAGGTTACTGGCCATCTTCTTGTCACCAGTGTCGAGGTTGGGAGACTACTCTCTCCCGCCTTTGCACTGGCCATACTCGTCTTACTCATGGACATCTCATGGAGAGGCGCCCTGCTCCTCTCTGTGAGAATTGTCAGGTTCCAGTATCGGTCAGCCACATTCTGTTAGACTGCCCACTTTATCAACGAGCACACAGAGTTTACGTCCAATGTCGTCTTCGCTCCGCTGCTCTCTCTTTACCTTTCCTTTCTCGCTGTTGGACCCACCTTTCATCCAGACTCTCTCATTGACTTTTTGACAACAACTGACTTAATCCACAAACTCTGATGATGATACCTTCAGCCCTTTCTACCTCAATCTCTTGCTACCCTCTACCCCTGCACTATCCCCTGCCCCACTGTTTTCTGTAACCTACTAATCATCCCTTTCCCCTTCCGCCACCCGATACCCTCACTTCCTTCCCTACCCCTGCAGCGCTGTATGGCCCTTGTGGCTTAGCGCTTCTTTTTAATTACAATAATAAATACGCTAAAAAACAGAAAAGTGAAAGATTTTGTTAAAAGGGTTTTGTATTGCAAAAATTAAGTTGCACTGATAGTTTATAAAAAGAACACTTAAAAATTTCAGAAGAGCACTTACTTGCAGGGGATTTGGCAACAACATAATGATAGATATCAGCTAAATGAATGTTGAGTGGCTTGTTTGTATCTTCACTCTGCATGTCGGATAATCTGGCATCTTCATCTTCTTCATTTATGTATTTCTCACTGAAAGTGATGCCAAAAACAAGACCATTTTAGAATAAAACATAACTATAAAAAAATATATATTGCATATTTTGACAATTCAGAGTGGTTTGAAGCATTTTCTAACATATTTCAATTTTTAGCTAAAAATTTTTTTTTTTTATTAACACACTGGCCGATTCCCTCCAAGGCAGGGTGGCCCGAAAAAGAAAAACTTTCACCATCATTCACTCCATCACTGTCTTGCCAGAAGGGTGCTTTACACTACAGTTTTTAAACTGCAACATTAACACCCCTCCTTCAGAGTGCAGGCACTGTACTTCCCATCTCCAGGACTCAAGTCCGGCCTGCCGGTTTCCCTGAACCCCTTCATAAATGTTACTTTGCTCACACTCCAACAGCACGTCAAGTATTAAAAACCATTTGTCTCCATTCACTCCTATCAAACGCGCTCACGCATGCCCGCTGGAAGTCCAAGCCCCTCGCACACAAAACCACCTTTACCCCCTCCCTCCAACCTTTCCTAGGCCGACCCCTACCCCGCCTTCCTTCCACTACAGACTGATACACTCTTGAAGTCATTCTGTTTCGCTCCATTCTCTCTACATGTCCGAACCACCTCAACAACCCTTCCTCAGCCCTCTGGACAACAGTTTTGGTAATCCCGCACCTCCTCCTAACTTCCAAACTACGAATTCTCTGCATTATATTCACACCACACATTGCCCTCAGACATGACATCTCCACTCCCTCCAGCCTTCTCCTTGCTGCAACATTCATCACCCATACTTCACACCCATATAAGAGCGTTGGTAAAACTATACTCTCATACATTCCCCTCTTTGCCTCCAAGGACAAAGTTCTTTGTCTCCACAGACTCCTAAGTGCACCGCTCACCCTTTTCCCCTCATCAATTCTATGATTCACCTCATCTTTCATAGACCCATCTGCTGACACATCCACTCCCAAATATCTGAATACATTCACCTCCTCCATACTCTCTCCCTCCAATCTGATATCCAATCTTTCATCACCTAATCTTTTTGTTATCCTCATAACCTTACTCTTTCCTGTATTCACTTTTAATTTTCTTCTTTTGCACACCCTACCAAATTCATCCACCAATCTCTGCAGCTTCTCTTCAGAATCTCCCAAGAGCACAGTGTCATCAGCAAAGAGCAGCTGTGACAACTCCCACTTTGTGTGTGATTCTTTATCTTTTAACTCCACGCCTCTTGCCAAGACCCTCGCATTTACTTCTCTTACAACCCCATCTATAAATATATTAAACAACCATGGTGACATCACACATCCCTATCTATGGCCTACTTTTACTGAGAAATAATCTCCCTCTTTCCTACATACTCTAACCTGAGCCTCACTATCCTTGTAAAAACTCTTCACTGCTTTCAGTAACCTACCTCCTACACCATACACCTGCAACATCTGCCACATTGCCCCCCTATCCACCCTGTCATACGCCTTTTCCAAATCCATAAATGCCACAAAAACCTCTTTAGCCTTATCTAAATGCTGTTCGCTTATATGTTTCACTGTAAACGCCTGGTCCACACACCCCCTACCTTTCCTAAAGCCTCGTTCATCTGCTATCCTATTCTCCGTCTTACTCTTAATTTTTTCAATAATAACTCTACCATGCGCTTATCCCCCCTATAATTTTTGCACTCTCTTTTGTCCCCTTTGCCTTTATACAAAGGAACTATGCATACTCTCTGCCAATCCCTAGGTACCTTACCCTCTTCCATACATTTATTAAATAATTGCACCAACCACTCCAAAACTATATCCCCACCTGCTTTTAACATTTCTATCTTTATCCCATCAATCCCAGCTGCCTTACCCCCTTTCATTTTACCTACTGCCTCACGAACTTCCCCACACTCACAACTGGCTCTTCCTCACTCCTACAAGATGTTATTCCTCCTTGCCCTATACATGAAATCACAGCTTCCCTATCTTCATCAACATTTAACAATTCCTCAAAATATTCCTTCCATCTTCCCAATACCTCTTAATCTCCATTTAATAACTCTCCTCTCCTATTTTTAACTAACAAATCCATTTGTTCTCTAGGCTTCCTTAACTTGTTAATCTCACTCCAAAACTTTTTCTTATTTTCAACAAAATTTGTTGATAACATCTCACCCACTCTCTCATTTGCTCTCTTTTTACATTGCTTCATCACTCTCTTAACCTCTCTTTTTCTCCATATACTCTTCCCTCCTTGCATCACTTCTACTTTGTAAAACTTCTCATATGCTAACTTTTTCTCCCTTACTACTCTCTTTACATCATCATTCCACCAATCGCTCCTCTTCCCTCCTGCACCCACTTTCCTGTAACCACAAACTTCTGCTGAACACTCTAACACTACATTTTTAAACCTACCCCATACCTCTTCAACCCCATTGCCTATGCTCTCATTAGCCCATCTATCCTCCAATAGTTGTTTATATCTTACCCTAACTGCCTCCTCTTTTAGTTTATAAACCTTCACCTCTCTCTTCCCTGATGCTTCTATTCTCCTTGTATCCCATCTACCTTTTACTCTCAGTGTAGCTACAACTAAAAAGTGATCTGTTATATCTGTGCCCCCTCTATAAACATGTACATACTGAAGTCTACTTAACAGTCTTTTATCTACCAATACATAATCCAACAAACTACTGTCATTTCGCCCTACATCATATCTTGTATACTTATTTATCCTCTTTTTCTTAAAATATGTATTACCTATAACTAGACCCCCTTTCTATACAAAGTTCAATCAAAGGGCTCCCATTATCATTTACACCTGGCACCCCAAACTAACCTACCACACCCTCTCTAAAAGTTTCTCCTACTTTAGCATTCAGATCCCCTACCACAATTACTCTCTCACTTGGTTCAAAGGTTCCTATACATTCACTTAACATCTCCCAAAATCTCTCTCTCTCCCCTACATTCCTCTCTTCTCCAGGTGCATACACGCTTATTATGACCCACTTTTCGCATCCAACCTTTACTTTAATCCACATAATCCTTGAATTTACACATTCATATTCTCTTTTCTCCTTCCATAACTGATCCTTCAACATTAACTGCTACCCCCTTCCTTAGGTCTAACTCTCTCAGATACTCCAGATTTAATCCCATTTTTTTCCCCCCACCGAAACTCCCCTACCCCCCTTCAGCTTTGTTTCGCTTAGGGCCAGGACATCCAACTTCTTTTCATTCATAACATCAGCAATCATCTGTTTCTTGTCATCCGCACTACATCCACGCACATTCAAGCATCCCAGTTTTATAAAGTTTTTCTTCTCTTTTTTAGTAAATGTCTACAGGAGAAGGGGTTACTAGCCCATTGCTCCCGGCATTTTAGTCGCCTTATACGACACGCATGGCTTACGTAGGAAAGATTCTTTTCCACTTCCCCATGGACAATAGAAGAAATAAAGAAGAACAAGAGCTGTTTAGAAAAAGGAGAAAAACCTAGATGTATGTATACATGTATGTATATATATATGTATGTGCATGTCTGTGAAGTGTGACCAAAGTGTAAGTAGGAGTAGCAAGATATCCCTGTTATCTAGTGTGTTTATGAGACAGAAAGAGACCGGCAATCCTACCATCATGCAAAACAGTTACAGGTTTCTGTTTCACAGTCATCTGGCAGGACGGTAGTACTTCCCTGGGTGGTTGCTGTCTACCAACCTACTACCTTGGCAACCTTTAGCTAAAATATGCATATAAATCATAGTAAAAAATGTTAAGGTAATCTAATCATAATAAAATAATAAGATTTGGTTTATAATTATCAGGGAATGAGAAATAATTGAATTTGATCAAAGGAAATCAAGAACAGCTTCAGTTTTGTTCATTAACTAATCTTTAAAATTATATTACTCTCAGTTATAAGGCAAAGGAGCAGTTTCTGACATAAATATGCAGAAAATGGAGATTATATGATTTTTTTGGCTTTAAGGAAAGAGCTTAAAGAAGGGGTCCCTTCAAACAGGTGCCTTGATGCTGGCAAAGGGATCTTGATCCATGAAATCAGAGCTACCCTTCCCTTAGAAAAAATATTACTGTACTTCCCATTCCCCAGACTGTGTGACTCTTATGGGTTTAGCACTTTCCTACGATTGAGTGGAGTGTATAGGATGGGTAACGTGTAAAAACACACATGGTATTTAATAATTTTTTTTATCCACAGGCAAATTAGTGATTCTGATGATAAATATTTACCTGAATCCCAGATGCTCGAATATCTTCCTTTAAAGAGAAATAGAAAAAATATTGAAATGAAATATCACTAACACTGAAAATTTTATCATGCAGTAGCTAATATATTACGTTGTTTTACCAAGTTAAATTTCTTACACGTAAAATTTATATTTTATAATCAATATGCTTAATATAAATCTACAGACAATGATATTTTACTTGGGGCAGATTTTTTCATTAATGTTTATATGACAATATTCAGTACTTACAAGTCATTATTAACTAAGTCCTGAATGCCAAAGGTGTCAAACACAAGAGCCATGTCAGGTCTAGAGTAGCAGCCAGAGAGGTTGACCCTCGGATAGTACATCAGGAATGCTAGACACATCTCTTCTTCTGTACTAAAGCCACCCTGCAAAGATCTATACTTTAAAATATGTTTTAAAGTTCTTCTCCTTTGCATGTACAGTAATATGCTAGCATTACCTTAGGCAAATTTTGAATTATTTACATTATTATTATGTAAAAAGAAAAAAGTCTTCTTGCATGTAGTAATTTATACAGAAGAAAGGTTACAGTGGACGTGTTTCTTTCCACCTGTTGTCTATGTTCCCCATCAGTAAAATGGGTACCTGGGTGTTAGTCGACTGGTGTGGGTCGCATCCTGGGACACTGACCTAAGGAGGCCTGGTCACAGACCGGGCCGCGGGGGCGTTGACCCCCGGAACTCTCTCCAGATAGCCCCTTGCTCCTGGCATTTTAGTCACCTCTTATGACACATGTGGCTTGTGGAAGGAAATTCTTTTCCATTTCCCCATGGATATTATTATTACTGTATTATTATTTTTACAAAAACAATAAACTTGAATGGGTCACTTAAAACTGTAAATTTGTATAAATTAACTTCAATAACATTCAGATCAGTAAGCTATAATTAAAACAAAAGGTTGGTACAATTTTTTTTTTATTTAAAAAGTGTGTAAATGCACTAAACATTCCAGTCCGAGATGAATCCATGATAATGGAACGAGTGGATTCCATTTTGTGTTGTATCACTTAAAAATGATCACCAAAATACTTACAAATGTTGGAATTTTCCTGCTGGTGGCATCATAACCACAGTTGATTATCAGGGAATCCCCTGGTAATATAACCATCTCATTCTTAAGAACTCGAGCTTGTTGGTAGTTGAAGTCATAATTCATATCTGTAAAGAGGTGTGTAAAATTAAATTGCAACAATTCTTACTAAATTAAGAAAATTGAAAATGAAAATGCTACAGTAAAGCAGTGTATATCATAGTCTTGAAATTCACACCCACCGATTTCTTTTTTTAATTTATCAGCTGTTTCCCACCAAAGCAGGGTGACCTAACAAAAAAAAAAACTTCCATCGCTCACTCCATCATTGTCAAACTAAAGGCATGCCAATAATACATTTTAAAAACTGCAACATATCTCCATGCCTCCTTCAGGGTGCAGGCACTGTACTTCCCACCTGCAGGACTCTAAGTCCTGGTTATAAATATGTACCAGTAATGTGTTTTATTACACACAAACTACATTATCTTTGTGCTGCATAAAAAGAAATAAAAGTTAAAATTTAAGTAATATTACCTTATCTATATTAATACATTTCCTTTTGCCAAGTTTGCTTCTCAAGTTTGCTAAATATTTAATGTGACATTGTTTCAGAGGCATTCACCCTAACTGTATAATATACTGTACTCCTCTTTGTAAAAAATCAGGCTTTTTTTATTTGTTTTTGTTTGTTTCGCAGTGCTGTATGACCCTGGTTAGTTTAGCGCTTAGTTTTGATTATAATAATTTTGTTTCTTAATGTCGAGAAATGTACGGTCTAACCATCTGCCCTTATAGTGCCTGACCTCTGGTAAGCTGTGGTATCTCTTATGAAGTGAAGAGTATAACACTTAGTAGATGTACAAATCTCTTTGTATGATGCATTCTAGGAATGGTGTTTTCCCAAAATGAATTGGCTTTCTTTTGTGCCTAACAATGTTTTATTACTTGTAATTCACATTATTTGTATACTGCATAAAAAGAAATAATTTTAATTTAAATATGACATGCCAAAGTCTCAGTATTGACTGATTTTGATGGTATCAATATCAGCCTAAAATTGAGTATCGGCAAAATTTTTGGTACCATCCCATCCCTACAGTAGCTTAGGGCTTCATAACAATCACCTTTCTAGAATACAGTATTGGTGCTCCTCAACTCACGATGGGGATACTTTACAATGAACCCATCATGAGTTGAAAACATAAGTCAGATATGAATACAGTGTGATAAATAAATAACTACTGTCACTGAATAAGTAAATGGACAAATAATTACTGTAACTAACTAAATACCAGTATTGAAAAATAAATAAATGAATACAAGTTTATCCTATCAATATACAGTACTGTACAGAAAAAAATTATTTATAGAACCAACATAGTCGAAATATTGTTAAGTCGAACCATTGTAAAGCCAGGAGCATCTGTACTTGTAACAGGTTTGCTGTCCTCCTGTTATCCGGCATCTATTACTAATGATTTGTAATAAAGTTGGTAGAATTACCGACAATATGTAAAGTAAAAGGACACAAGTGCAACTAATGTGACATTTTATTGTGGAAACGTTTCGCTCTCCAGGAGCTTTGTCAAGCCGAAACCAATGGCTTGATAAAGCTCCTGGAGAGCGAAACGTTGCCACAATAAAATGTCACATTAGTTGCACTTGTGTCCTTTTACTTTACATACTAATGATTTATTGAACATCAGTTTGAATGGCTTGTGTAGTATTTTGGCTCCTTGTAATTTTCTTGGTAATATTTCACCTGGTTCTGATACTGATGAAGTATCAAGTTCCATCTACAGTCTCTACCTATGAAGTATCAAGTTCCATCTACAGTCTCTACCTATGAAGTATCAAGTTCCATTCTACAGTCTCTACCTATGAAGTATCAAGTTCCATCTACAGTCTCTACCTATGAAGTATCAAGTTCCATCTACAGTCTCTACCTATGAAGTATCAAGTTCCATCTACAGTCTCTACCTATGAAGTATCAAGTTCCATCTACAGTCTCTACCTATGAAGTATCAAGTTCCATCTACAGTCTCTACCGATGAAGTATCAAGTTCCATCTACAGTCTCTACCTATGAAGTATCAAGTTCCATCTACAGTCTCTACCTATGAGGTATCAAGTTCCATCTACAGTCTCTACCGATGAAGTATCAAGTTCCATCTACAGTCTCTACCGATGAAGTATCAAGTTCCATCTACAGTCTCTACTGATGAAGTATCAAGTTCCATCTACAGTCTCTACCTATGAAGTATCAAGTTCCATCTACAGTCTCTACCTATGAAGTATCAAGTTCCATCTACAGTATCTACCTATGAAGTATCAAATTCCATCTACAGTCTCTACCGATGAAGTATCAAGTTCCATCTACAGTCTCTACCTATGAAGTATCAAGTTCCATCTACAGTCTCTACCTATGAGGTATCAAGTTCCATCTACAATCTCTACCGATAAAGTATCAAGTTCCATCTACAGTCTCTACCTATGAAGTATCAAGTTCCATCTACAGTCTCTACCTATGAGGTATCAAGTTCCATCTACAATCTCTACCGATGAAGTATCAAGTTCCATCTACAGTCTCTACCTATGAAGTATCAAGTTCCATCTACAGTCTCTACCGATGAAGTATCAAGTTCCATCTACAGTCTCTACCTATGAAGTATCAAGTTCCATCTGTGGTCTCTTAACTTTCTCATTAGTCATTACAAAGTTTGATACAGTAGTTCAATTTGATTTATCAAGTATTTATTTCCCCACTGTACTTAAACCACAAAATTTATCATGATGCAAATATTGCTAGATGGGTTAATGGCAATGTATTGCTGTAGTCTAGTTGAGCTGACTGATATCAAAACTGATCTCCAGAGGCTCAACTGACTGTGATGTGAACTTCCACAACATCAGGTTATGATCACTTAAAATAAATGCATCGGCACATAACTCATCCTCAGAAAATTTACTCTTGAAGATGATCACTCCAGGAAAAATAAAACTTAAATCTACAAGAAATTAAGTGTTGAGAATGCATTTTTTATTCACAATTCCAAGTGCTCATAATCGAACAATTATTGCCATGTTAAAATAACACAGCATAAATTATATATTTATATCGACACATTTGTTACAAAGTTTCCTTGGAGATAAGGGGGATGTATATACATAAAGTTATTAAAAAATATACATCCATGCTATGTAAACTACACAAAATGTTGAACAGGTGGTCAATACTTCAGGTTTGATTACCAGGAAGGGAATTATTATTATTATTATAATCAAGGGGAAGCGCTAAACCCGTAGGATTATACAGCACCGGGGGGATGTGGAAGGCATTCAGGCTTAATTCGGGGAACTGGAGCACAGATCCAATTCCCTAAATCAAGAGCCCCTCACCAACTTCAAGGAACCTTCTGTGAGGGGACCAGGAAGGGAAGATAGACTCACCTTTAGAAAAATATATACTATCAACAACAATATATACAACACAAAATTTGGCTAACAACATTGCATAACACTGCAACATTGACATACCCTTGATGACAGTCGGTTGCTCACGTCCATTGCGTATTTGTTGTATAGATATTGACGACCCAAGAAGATGTGCATGAAGGAATCCTTGGAAAACTCTTATTCCTGAAGCTGGTAATGTCTGAAGTACATTAGAAATTTATTAGGCAATACAATTTATTAGGCAATAAAAATTTATTAGGCAATCTCATCAAACCAGAACTTTTGTTTCCTAGTTATTTTAGAGTGGAATTTTTTGGACAACTGAAGAAACTTTCATAAATGTATATTTTCTGAATACTCAAGTCCGGCAGGCCGGACTTGAGTCCTGGAGATGGGAAGTACAGTGCCTGCACTCTGAAGGAGGGGTGTTAATGTTGCAGTTTAAAAACTGTAGTGTAAAGCACCCTTCTGGCAAGACAGTGATGGAGTGAATGATGGTGAAAGTTTTTGTTTTTCGGGCCACCCTGCCTTGGTGGGAATCGGCCAGTGTGATAAAAAAAGAAAAAAAAAAAAATATTTTCTGAATACAGTTCCAAATAAATTACTGTATAAAATACATAAATTATGGACAAAAGAATGCACAATACATTATTGTAACAAACATGTTGCACTACATCTAATTTATCAAACATTACTAAAAAATTACTGTAATAATACACGAGACACAAAATGTACATGTATAATGCCCTATACACAATGTATATAATGTACTACACACGCAATATACAGTGGACCCCCGCCTTACGATATTAATCCGTTCCTGAGAGCTCATCGTAAGCCGAAATTATCGTTAGCCGAATTAATTTTCCTCATAAGAAATAATGGAAATCAAATTCGTTCGTGACACCCCAAAGTATGAAAAAAAAAAAAATTTTTTACCACATGAAATATTAATTTTAATACACACAAACTGAAGAAGACATGCACAATTACTACTCTACTAAGAATAGAATACATGACACTTACCTTTATTGAAGATCTGGTGATGATTGATGGGATGGGAGGAGGGGAGTGTGTGGAAGTTATTGTTTAGAAGGGGAATCCCCTTCCATTAGGACTTAAGGTAGCAAGTCCTTTTCTGGGGTTACTTCCCTTCTTCTTTTAATGCCACTAGGACCAGCTTGAGAGTCACTGGACCTCTGTCGCACAACAAATCTGTCCATAGAGCTCTGTACCTCCCGTTCTTTTAAGACTTTCCTAAAATGGGCCATAACATTGTCATTGTGCAGGATGCCAACATGGCTTGCAGTAGCTGTGTCAGGGTGATTTTCATCCGTAAAAGTTTGCAGTTCAACCCACTTTGCACACATTTCCTTAATCTTTGAAGTAGGCAACTTCCTCAATTTCTCTCTCCCCTCCTCTGAAGCAGTTTCCTCAGGTCTGGCCTCTTGCTGTTGAAGATGATCTTGCAGCTCACCAGTGGTTAGTTCTTCATTGTCCTCCTCCACCAACTCTTCCACATCCTCCCCACTAACCTCCAACCCCAAGGACTTCCCCAATGCCACAGTGGATTACACAACTGGCATATGCTTCTCAGGGTTAGCTCCAAACCTTCAAAATCCCTTTCTTCTACACATTGTGGCCACAGTTTCTTCCAAGCAGAGTTCAAGGTCCTCTTAGTCACTCCCTCCCAAGCCTTACCTATAAGGTTTACACAACTGAGGATACTAAAGTGATCTTTCCAAAACTCTCCTAGAGTCAATCGAGTGTCTGAGGTCACTTCAAAGCACTTTTGCAACATAGTTTTTGTGTCGAGTTTTTTGAAGTTTGCAGTGACCTGCTGGTCCATGGGCTGCAGGAGAGGAGTGGTATTAGGAGGCAAAAACTTGACCTTAATGAAGCTCATGTCCCCAGAAAGTCGCTCTGCCACGTCTGAAGGATGACCAGGAGTATTGTCTAATACCAGGAGGCACTTAAGGTCCAATTTCTTTTCCATTATGTAATTTTTCACAGCGGGGGCAAATGCATGGTGTAACCAGTCATAGAAAAAGTCCCTAGTGACCCATGCCTTACTGTTTGCCCTCCACAGCACACACAAATTAGCCTTGAGGACATTGTTTTGCCTGAACGCTCTGGGAGTTTGAGTGACACACCAATAAAGGCTTCACTTTGCAATCACCACTAGCATTAGCACACATCAAAAGAGTAAGGCTGTCTTTCATAGGCTTATGTCCTGGGAGTGCCTTTTCCTCCTGAGTAATGTAGGTCCTGCTTGGCATTTTCTTCCAAAACGGGCCTGTTTCGTCACAATTAAACACTTGTTCAGGTTTCAATTCTTCACTGTCAATGTACTCCTTGAATTCCTTCACATATTTTTCAGCCGCTCTTTGGCCCGAACTGGCAGCCTCGCCATGTCTTATCACACTATGTATGCCACTACGATTCTTAAATCTCTCAAACCAATTGCTTGCCTTAAATTCACTCACATCACCACTAGTTGCAGGCATTTTTCTAATTAAATTGTCATGCAACTTCCTAGCCTTTTCACATATGATCGCTTGAGAGATGCTATCTCCTGCTATCTGTTTTTCGTTTATCCACACCAATAACAGTCTCTCAACATCTTCTATCACTCGTGATCTCTGTTTCGAAAACAAACTTGCACCTTTTGCAAGAACAGCTTCCTTGATTGCCATTTTGTTGGCCAAGATAGTAGCGATGGTTGATTGGGGTTTGGTATACAAACTGGCCAGCTCCGAGACACGCACTCCACTTTCGTACTTAGCAATTATCTCTCTCTTCATTTCCACAGTAATTTTCACCCTTTTTACCACAGGGTTGGCACTAGAAGCTTTCTTGGGGCCCATGGTGACTTATTTTGCAGTTACAAGCACTAAAAACAGTGATAATATGAAATGTACCGAATGTATGCTTAGATGTGACCGCACTGGCTGGGTTGTAAACACTGGCACCCATGGGGCAGCTGAGGCCACACGTGGGACACATCCCGGACGAATCACGTAAGGCGAGTTTTTTATCGTGAGGCGAGGCAAAATTTTTGCATTCAAATGCTTCGTATGGCGGATTTGATGTAACGCAATACATACGTAAGGCGGGGGTCCACTGTATATAAAACACTAGACATGTGTATATAAAGCTCTAGATATGTATATAAAGCACTAGACATGTATTTACATGTAATTCACTAGACAACAATACAAGTAACTTTTCTATATGAAAATTTACATGTTAATTAAATTGTGACTGTTTACTCATCCATTTTTTTAAAGATTAATATACAGTGCAAGTACGTACAGTACATAGTCTATCTTGTCAAAAAAAAAAAAAAAAATAATAATCTTTTTTATTAACACATCAGCTATTTCCCACCAAGGCAGGGTGACCAGAAAAAGAAGAAACACTTTCATTATCACTCACTCCAACACTGTTTTGTCAGAGGTGTGCCTGCACCACAGTTAAAAAATTACAACATCAACACCCCTCCTTCAGAGTGAAGGCACTGTACTTAATAATAATAAATCCAGTGATGCATTACTCACATTGCAATGGATCAAGGAGCAAAAAGCTTAAAAATAAATACACTAGACTCGCATTTCATGCATCCACAAATTATGTTGTTAATAAATTGTAATTGAAATTTTGTAACCAGGTACACATTTTTGTGAGAAAATGACTGCATGATCACACCATAAATTTAGGAGGAAAATAAGCACGTCCTATTTTTTTTGAGCAAAATCTGGCTTGATCACGTGATAGTGCACTTTCCCTTTGTGCCCAGGGCGAGTCCATTGTCCTTTCTCTCTCATTGCTCATACCACCTTAACAACCCTTCCCCAATTCTCTAATGTACAGTAGTAATGTAATGTAATCCACAGCAGTCCATTAAATTTGTTTAATAAAAAGACTGTTGTATTTGTTGTGGATAATGGGAGTTTCCAGAGTACAGAATTAGAAATTATAAACGTTGTATAGTACTGTTAGGCTAGGTAAGGTTTGTCAGGAAACAGGACAAGTGTTTCCTGACACAGGTTTTAGTCATATGACGACCCGCAGCTGGAGCTTTTGACATCTTACCAAGGTCTACCGCTGGCTTACTCCTCCACCCCATTAAAAATTATGGTTATGTAGTAGTTCTGTGGAACCTCAGATATAGAACTTAATCCGTTCCAGGAGTTAGTTCTAAATTTGAACCTCTTCAAGGGGGGCTCCTTGGCGTGGTGAAGAGGCTCTTGGTCTGAGGAATTAGACCTGTTGGTCTCCTTCCTCAGACTGAACCTAATTACCCCCCAATCCCCCCTTCCCTGTCCCATCCTCCCCTTTTCCCTTTCCTCCTCCCCCTCCCCACCCCTCCCTTTTGCCCTTCCTCTTTTTGGCCTTTGGAATTTTTCCCACAGGCGTGGTAGTTCCTAGGTAGGGGAAAGGGTACCGGGGTCCATCCCATTCCGTTGAGGCTCTTGGCGGTGGCGTAGTTTGCCGTGGAATCTGGATTGCCTGGGGATGTCCCGATCCCTCTCCGGTATCCCGGAGAGTGGCTTTGGGTGTCTTTCGGGCGACGGGTGTATCTCTGGAAGCCACCTTTTGGATTCCGGGGGTGGTGGCCGAAGGAGGTATGCTTTGTGGCGGATATCCGGCCACCCTCTCTCTTGTCCACCGAGGTAGCTCGGCAGATGTGAGGTTGCTATCCTGGATTGCTGGTTTACTGGCATGATGGGTAGGGTATGGCACGGGTTCCATGCTGCATCTACGCTACTTGCGGTGCTGAGGTCCTCTTGGGCGCGGAGGGAGATTTCTGGCCCTTTCATTCCTCCTAGGAACTATCCCTCCCCGGTCCCCCCTTTTTTTTTATTCTTTTTTTTATTTTTTATTTTTTTTTTTTCTTAAAAACAAAAAGAAAGAAGTAACCTAACCATGGCAGCCCTAGTCCATGAACCTGCTAGCCCAGGGCCCCTTCTTGATACCACACCCCGTTCTGACCATGCCTCGTCTTTGGACTACTCTTCGGACACTCCTCATGCCTCTGTACCTCTTGCCGGTGCTGTTTCCTCACCCGCTTCAGGTACTGAGGTCTCGACTGACTCCTTTGATTTATCTGACCTCCGCTCTCCTTTGACTATGCTTCCGGCCTCTCCCTCTACGGTGCGGCAATTTTTGAATCGCTGGCCCATTCCACGTCGGACC